AACACCCTGTTCTCAAATACCCTCAGTCTATGTTCCTCCTTTGATGTTAGAGACCTAGTTTCACACCCATTGGATTTTTCAATTTTCCTAATTCTTCCAGCCGCACTGTGGTCCTAGTGTCAACTTGGCCTCTAACTAAAAAAAGTATCAGGGATCTTCATGGCAGTAAAAGGCGGCAGGTGCGTAAGACTGACAACCTCACAGCCATCTGTCACTTGTCTAGATAGTGTGGGAGCCTCGATGTCTCACAACCCTATGGGCCTCCATGGTCTGTTAACCTTTAAGTGCCGAAGTGCCCAGTTTGTGCCAGTCATGAGTAAGGTCGTCGTGGCCAAAGTACCCCGTTTTGTCCAGTCAGGCATTTAAACTCCGCTAGAGGAAGCGCGCGCACACGCCGCTAGTAGAAGCGCATGCACATTCCTAAATATTTATTTTCAAATGTAGTAATTACCAGACAGACTTGAGTAAAACACTAATAGAGGAATTAAAATAATACCTAACTGAACAACAGCAAATAAAAATATACATATGAGTTATGCCAAAACTTATCCACGATCCAGTAATTTTATTGCAGATTCTGCAGATAGGTATGTTAAAAATATATTGTAAAATTTGATGTACATACCTTTTTTGTTGTTACCTGCTTGATGTATATACAGTTTCAAATAAAACTACCGTATTCAATTTCACTACGAACGCACACAAAACAGATCGCGCTCTGTATCTCAGCCACGATGCAGCTGTCTGTTCACTCAAATAGAAGGGGCAATAAGCTTTTGCAGTTCTAACGGAAGGTTTTAGCACTGAAGAAGGGACCCCTCTAGCTTTCTCTTGAATAGCCATTCTTTCATTCTTCTGACCTTCAGTCAAAGATTCGAAAATCCGAAGGGTGTAAGCAGTGCTAGCAGAAGACCAAATGATTTTATTGCTTCCATCTGTTTTATGACACCAGGGACTGCTAAAATTTGTCAAGTGTTACAAACAGAAATGAATTTATAATGCAGAACAACTCTGTGAAGAACTGGGAAACAATTTTTGCAGTACGCATCAAAATTAAAACACAAAAAAATTGAAAATAGAGTATAACACTTTGCATTAAAAATTTCAAATCTTTCGTTATAATATGCGACACTATTTTCTTTGCTGATATAAACAAAGTTAATACCATCCATTTATCATAAAAATTGTGCTAGATACAGCATTTTTAAACACAACGCTTAAAATTGATTAACCGCCTAACAGGAATGGACATTTAAACGCAAGAGAGCAACGGGCATTTAAACGAGCACCAGCAGCGGGCATTTAAATAAACTCCGGCCAGCTCAAGTTTACCACTATTTCGAAGTCCGGCGTTTAAAGGTTAAGCCAATTTTGCATCTCCTTTTGACATTATGTGAAACAGGAAAAGTGATGAGATGACCATTGGATTTCTGGAATTGAAAGTAAATTCCAATGAAGACAGTCTCTGTCATGCGAACTAGTTTGCATGACAGTCTCTGTCATGCGAACTAGTTTGCAGGTGTGGGGTAACCATCCATTCTGAATGGTCACTGGCAAGCATTACAGTTCTTTTCATAAGAGCTAAAAACTATTAACTGGTAACCGATGATTAATTGAAGAGGCAAAGGATGCATGGAAGGAAATATGAATTTAATTCATAACACATGACCCCCTTTTTTTATCACTTTGTTTTTTCTGCTTATAATACATTTTTTTTTCCCCTTGGCACTACAGCCCCAGTGGGCCTAGGCCTACCTCCATGAATTTCTGCATTCACTTCGGTTTTTCTTGATCTTATACATTTGGTAGGACTCCTTGGACCGGTGATCAGCTCGTCACTAGGACTCTCTACCTGTACACAAACACAGAAAAACGCACACATACAAACTAAACATCCATGCCCTGAGTGGGATTCGAAACCACGATCCCAGTTTCCAAGCGAGTGAAGACAGTACGTGCCTTAGAACGCTCGGCTCCCGTGACCGGCTTATAATACATATACAGACTGAAAATACTCATGAATCTGTTACTATCACCTATGTTCAATCGATGGGTTCAGCTCTCATGACTTGGTCACGTCGAATGCTAAGGTTTCAGCAAAATTGCAGTTACCATGAGAGGCATTTGGTAGGTCTTAGCTCTTGCATCAGGCAATGTGTTACTCAACCTACATCTGGTAGCTTAGAAGAGGCAGGAGTCTCACAGCTGGTAAAGAATCTAAATGGGTTACATCACTGCATCCCCAATGATTTGATAAAAATATCAGCAGAAAGAAAAGGCAGAATATATGGGACCTTTGCTATATTCTAGAACAGCTTCAGTAAATTTCTTTCAAACACCATGAGGAGGCTTATAATTTTCAAAGAACTGCACTAAAACACAGACAAAACTATTCTGGACTGTTGCTGTCTCATGAGAGTTTCTTAAAAACTTCATGGATCTGAGCCATTCCTAAGAAACTGCCAGTTGTACATATATACAAGAACTTCACCGGAACCTGAAAGTCCACTACCATGTTGACAAGAGCCCTCCACTGGTCCCTACTGAGCCACATGAATCCAACCCCTCCTGTCTAAGTTCCATTTTAATATATCCTCCCACCTTTGTCTAGGTCTTCTGGGTCATCTCTTTCCTTCTGACTTTCACACCAAAATTCTATATTCAATCTTTTCCCCCCATGTGTGCTACATAACCTGCCCACCTTATCCTCCTGAACATAAGTGAATTGTTTATCAAAAAGAAAAACACTTCAGAATGAAAGTGAATTGTGGAGAGACTAAGCTAATGGAAACATAAAAAAATGGCAGACATGATTAATAAATGCTATGAGGTCCTCTGTTTAGTTCCACTCATGTTGATTAATTTAGAAGATGAATTGCTTCATTTATATGTATCTTAGAAACTTCCCTGACAAAAGCGGCCAATAGTTATTCTGTCTGAAGTGTCTAAAAAATGTCAGCAGAATTCTCTCTCTTAAATATTGTTAAGTGCTATAACTGCTTAGACCGAAAAAACAGCAGGTCCTTCGTATCGAAATCTCAAGTCAAAATATGGAAAGCATTTATAGTAACTCTGATATACAGATCCAAAATAAAACTGAAAAATTCTTTGGTTCTTTGTGGCACAAACAGAAATTAATCATATACGAAGGGCGTTCCATAAATAATGCCTCCTATTTTTTTTGTGTTAATATGTAACATCTGAGATGGATGTTGGTGGTGTTGTAGTAAAGGTTGAACCTTCTCGCCAATGTACTGTTAGTTTGGTTGTTGTGTGACAGATAGCAACAGCAGAGCAGTCTATCAAAATGGTGTCTGACATAGAAGTGTGTATGAATCAGAGATGTGTTATTGAATTTCTCATTGTCAAACAAATTGTACCCACTGATATCCATTGACACTTGCTAAAGGTGTATGGAGACAATACAGTGGATGTCAGCACAGTGAGGCGGTGGGTAGTGAGTTTCAACAGTGGTGAAAGTGAAGTGCACGACAAGCCACACCATGGCGTCCCTGCTCAGCTGCCACTCCTCACAATGAACAGCGCCTCAATGGTACAGATCGGCAGATAACAGCCAGGGAACTGTGTGCATGGCTTAATATCGGCTGTAATGCATTGGAAACGATGTTGGGGAAGCTGGATTATCGCAAAGTTTATTCCAGGTGGGTCCCACAGATGCTTACACAGGGCCATAAAATTCATCAAATTGAAGTTTGTCAGGAACTGTTGCACCAGTTTGAGGCTGAAGGTGACAAGTTTCTGGACAGCATCATCATCAGAGATGAGACGTGGTGTCACCACCATGAGCCGGAATCCAGAAGACAGCCCATGGAGTGGCGACATCTGGATTCCCCAAGAAAAAAGAAGTTCAAGACACAGCCATCAGCAGGGAAAGTGATGTGCACGGTCTTTTGGGATAGGCAGGGTGTGATTTTCTTGGATTTCCTGGAGCCTGCTGAGACTGTCAATTCTGAACGCTACAAGACGACGTTGACTAAGCTGAAAGCCCACATTTCCCGAATCAGGCCAGAGAAGCAGACAACCTTTCGCTTGCAACACGATAACGCTAGACTCCATACCAGTTTGGCTGGACTGTCCTACCACATCCACCTTAGAGCCCCAGTTTAGCACCTTCAGACTTCCATCTCTTTGGGACTATGAAAGATGGACTACGTGGGCAATATTTTCCAGACAACGATGCTGTCATTGCAGCTGTAAGAAAGTGGCTAGCCTCTGCTGGCACAGACTTTTACAGGCATGGCATACAGGCTCTTGTTCATCGCTGGCAAAAGTGCATAATGAATGGTGGTCATTATGTGGAAAAATAACTGCAAGTATCTGAAATCTTGCTCTATTTAACTGCGTTATTATGCTTTCTGCATCTGTTGTAGTTTTCTTTAAAAAATAGGAGGCATTATATATGGAACGCTCCTTGTATGTTTACAATGAGCAGAATGTGATTCCATACATACATATCCTCATTACTGCACAAATCAAGTTAAAATATTGTTCATATGACACTAATAGAAGATTGTACCAATTCCCAGTACAATTCCTTATTGTGAAAATCATCGCAGTTCCTATAAATTCATACAAATTAAGTGTTAATGAAATATGAGCAAAGAGAAACAAAATTAGAACAAATATAGGTTTGGAATATGTGATTTATTTGAACAAATATTTTAAGGAATAATACAATTTTATTATCAACATATTATCTGAAGTCCAAGGACTATTTTTAGACACAAGGAATCTATATGACATGGACTAAATATAAAAATAGATATGTACAGTTAAATGAATATCATAGGGTTCACGTAAGGAAGATTACAGTATAAAATGAATGATGACAACAGAACAATGTTCTAATTATCTTCTAAGTAATACCACTTGAAGCTCAGAGAAAACACAGCATTTAACATTTTCTTGTGATATTATCCATTTTTATTACTCATTATAAAAATTGTCAGTCTTTATGTATTTGAAATAATAAAAATCATGATAATTATTTGTATTTGTAATTAAAAACAACATTCATGTGAGTAAGAACTACACGAATGATTGTCTACAAACAGCAGTTCAACTACTGGGAGCTAGAAAATGAGTGGGATTCAGTGAATTAGAATATCTAGCAGTTCCTTGTGTTACAGTCGAGAGTAGCTTGACATCTTAAATAAAAATTCTCTGTTATTCTCTACCTGGTTCATTGCAACCTGCTAAATCAGAGATTTGTATCCCCCCATGTAAGTTTTGTATGTGTTAATTACAGCTTGTAGCAAGACTGTAAGTGTAATATTATTTGCAGTTTCTGTAAAAGCATATCTTATTAAGAAAGAGAATGAACTTTTTTAATTTTGAACTTGATGATAGTGAATGAAGATGGCCTTCTAACCTAATAATACATGACAATTTCCACAATTTCCCAATTCTCTCCTAAAAGTCATGGTTAATGTTGATACAAACTTTGAATAAAATATGATAAATTATGAAACCTCGTTTTGAAACTAGTCCACAGCCATGTTTGAGTGTATTTTAAATTTCATAAAAGCCTCTTTTTAAACCTAATATAAATGACAAGTGTAATAATCAGTTCTTTTTAAAATTAAACCAGAAACATTCCAGTTTTTCTGACAATGAATCAAAATTTCTCCACTTGAACAAACAGTCTTTGAATCTGTTGCCATGAGAGCCTCAAATCTGGATATAACTTGTGAAAACTGTCATCATCAAATATATATTAGGTTCAAGCCCAATCAGGACTCCATTCACTGTAATTACATAACTACACTGCAGGCATATATGATGAGTTACATCACAAATCAGACTTATAGACATTGTAGTGATTTCATTAATGTTTGTAGTGACACAGTGAATTATAAATACTGAGAGTCATGTTTAAAATTCTCTGGGCATTGTTTGTGGCCATATTTACTTTGGACTCAATCTTTACACACTCTGTTAATACTCCACTGCAAACAAGAGGAAAAGTAAATACATTTCAGTTTGCTGAAGTCAATGTTAGTTCCTGGGCCTGTTCCTGACAGGAAGGGGCAGAGCCCCAGGGGGCAGGTTGGGTCTGGGGGCTGCATTAGGGATGTTCTGTTCCCCATCCTGCTCCAACTCATCTGGGAGGGGCGGCTGTGTCGTTGGCACTTCACAGTCCTCAGTGGGCGGAACAACACACCTCAGTGATCTGCGATCAAACACCAACATGGCAGGGCAGCGCTGCAGTCGAGGGTATCCTCCCTGACACTGCCAGTAACGGTTGCAAGATTTTCCCAGGGGCACGTTGCCATTGGCATCAGCATTACACAGGGCTGTAACAGAAACCAGACTGCCACTGTATATACACATACGAGGGTTGGAACTTTAATAGTGGCAACTATTTATTTACAACTGATACAAAATAGATCGAAGTTTTACTGTCCTTCAATGTAGTCATCAGCATTGTGTACAACCCGTTGCCAGTGATGTGGAAGTCGTAGGATACCTTTAGCAGTGCCTGTTGTGTTGATAGTTCGAATGCCTGAAGAATCTCTGGAACAGTTCTGAAGCGAATGCCACGAAGTGGTTCCTTCATCTTAGGAATCAAGTCAAGTCACAAGGGCTTAAGTCCGGGGAGTATGGTGGATGGTACAGCACTTCCCAGCCCCATCGATCGAACAAATCAGCCAGAGCTTGCGCTGCATGCAGCCAAACACTGTCCTGCAAAGTGATGGGTGGGTTCTGCAGAAAGAGTCGCCGCTTCTTTCTCAAAGCTGGTCACAGGTTGTGTTCCAAAAATGAAGAGCAATACTGCACATTGACGCTGTCGGGGAACGGTATGCGTTAGGATAAAACCACCACAGTCGTACACGAGAATCACCATAACTTTCACATTGCTGGGGTTCTGACGAACTTCTGATTTTCATGGTGACCCATAACGATGCCATTCGTTCGATTGGCGTTTCATTTGTGGCTCGTACGATTTGGCCCATGTCTCGTCCAGCGTAATGATACGGCGTAAGAAAACCTCTCCTTCGCGCTCATAGCGCTCCAAGTGGTTACGAGCAGCGTCGTATCGTAGCCATTTCTGCATTTCCGTCAAATCATGCGTAACCCATCGTGATGCAATTTTTTTCATGCCAAGGCGTTCCTTCAGAATGTGAAGCACAGTCGGATGCACTAATCCTGTCTCTCGGGCCAGCTCACGAATCGAATGGTGTCGATCACTCTCCAGTAACGCGGAAAGAGTCAAGGACACTAGGATGACCTGGCCGACACATGTCTGCCACATTTTGGCGTCCCTCGTTGAAGGCTTTTACCCACCTTGTCACAGTTCTGTAGGCCAATGCAGATTCCCTGCAAGCCTCTTGAAGACCTTGATGACACTGTCATGCTGTACGGCCTCTAGCACATTCAATCTCTATCCAACTCCGTTGTCCCGGTTTCGAAAACATCGTGACAACACTACATTAGACCGCCAGCTAACACGAGGCTCTGTTCTTCTCGTCACTGCGCATGCGCGTGATGTGCGAAGGGAGAGTCCATTTGCTCTGAGGTAAAGTAGGCATGTAACTAACGTGTGGTATAAGCGACATTATTTAGTTCCGTTGCATGACGTCTCTACAGCAGTGTTGCCACTATGAAAGTTCCAACCCTCGTATAATCATTTAATAGTTTCTGCAATATGTGTGTATGTGTCTGTAGGTGTTCAGCATGTTATTTCAAGTTATATTAAGTTATGTAAGGGTCAGGTGAAGTGATATAAATAGTTTGGTAATCACTGTCAAATGATATACAACACAAAATTATTTTTTCTCGGTACCCTGACGTGACATGGCTATCAATCAGGGTCATTCTAATAGCCAATAAAATACTTTTCCTACATTTGCTTCAAGTTTCTACAAGACTGCTGTTCATTCACATTACAAGCAATGTAACAAGAAGTTCTAGGAAGAACTAATGGCCTACTTTCACTTGACATGACACAGACTGAGCTGTTCCCTCGCAACGATAGGGGGCCACACAGATGGACCCAGAGACTCCCCTTTCATCCCTTAACTGAGGTCAGGCTCCCTGTAATATTTCACAAATCGAACGGATGGAGCCATGACTTCCTTCGCCATTTTAGTCTACTTTCCTTATTTTGAAAAAATAAAAAGTAGGCTTATGCGATCATCTTGCTGTCTGTGTATCCCCCTTATCAACTTTTGAATGCCTGAACAAATCTTTACGAAACTTGGTATGTATATCATGGCACCTGAGCCCATTTCAGTGGCATACTTCATAAATCCCTCCCATGAGTCTGTCTGTCTCTCTCTCCATCGTTGCCAACAAACGGCTCAGTTAACACGTTTCCGCGGCAACAAAAGTAGAATAATTGTTGAAAGCGTCGTCTTCTTTGCGGTCCGTGTAGTATCATAGAGAAATGCAGGCAATTAGTTCTTCCAAGAACTTTCTTTTTGTCGTCCACGTAAAGGTACATCTCTGCTGTGGCGGGAAATGCACTGGGCACAGAACTCACGGTGCTTCTGGCAACCCTCCACGTTGTCGGGCCAGTCACAGGAGTGCGTGTTCTCGTTGTAGAGCAGCCCGCCGATGCACAGTTGCTCTGTGGCCGTCCCGTTCCAGCACGTCCAGTAGCGCGTGCATGAGGTTTCGTGGCCGAAGATGCCGTACAGCCAGTCACAGTGCTCGGTCGATATCGGTGCGTCTGTAGAAAACATAAATGCCTGCTTTCATTTCCGCGCATAACCACCACCAACAAACATCTGCTCTGCACATGAACACAGTATTGCAAGGGATCTGGGTTCCTCATGGCGGTGATGTGACGCCGTGTGCATAGGTACCATCGTTTCGAGGGGGGCTGTTACCGAAATCTGCAGACTAGGAATGAGATGTAGGCTCATGACAAACATTGGCACGTAAAGTTGTGTCTGTGCTTCACTAACGCCATGAAGACGTATGGGGGAGTGGATGTATAGACCCACGTTTTTTTTTTTCGGAGCTGGAAGTGAGTGGTCAGATTCACGCCCCGTGGAAAGACTCCCTGGTACCCGCTGGGGTGGGCCCGAGGGCCAGTCTGGAAACGTAGGTACATACCAACGCAAAATACACGGCGTCACATCCCGTAATTCAGTGTCGTGGAACCTCATATCGTACGCACAAGTGTTTTAACTTATGTAGAATTACTGCACAGATGCTGGCCAGCACCAAAGGAGCCAATGGGCGAACATTCCAGGCATCGGAAATGGATAACTGTGATGAGAGAAGCTGGCGGTAAGACAAAGAACCGGTATGGAGGTGCTGAAGGAAAATATTACCTATATCGGGAATCGAACCCAAACTGTCCTGCTGGTAACCAGTCACTTCAGTTGCTGAGCTATACAGTAGATCTTAAAAGCAGCGACCAGCAGTTGTTTCTGTGACGTCACTGTGTTCAGTGACAACACGTGTGGCCGGCACACACTGGGGCGACTTCAGATGGCACTAGTTCTCTCTCTTTTTATGGAAAAATCAAGATTTTATAGTGTCAGGAAAGTCGAAACCACGATAAGGACGAATTTCTGAAGTGTTTATTGTTTGTTCCACGGCGCCTTGCTGATTGTGGCACGGAAGTTCTTCGCTCTGTTCCTGCTGACTGACGCCTTTCCTTTCTGTTAACGTAACATAACCCCACTCGCCAGTCGCTTAGCTACTCAAAATTTTGTTCAGAATTCTATGTAACCCCAAAATTCATAACCGTGTTTACAACAGCCCCCTACTTGTCCCTATAGTGAGACAGATGAAACAGTTCATACCACCTCAACCTACATCTATAAGATCCATTTTAATGTTATCCTACCTACCTTTAGGTTGTCCTACTGGTCTCTTTCATTCTGGGTTTCCCCAGCTTGCATATGTTATCTCTCGCGTACATGGTACATGTCATGCTTATCTCATCCTCTTTAGATCTTTATTTTTTTTTTAATTCGCTTAGTGGGGAGGGGGTTGAGTCCAACTGGGTCCACTCGGCACGGCGGCCACTGATTGACCTATTGTACCTGCCCGGGTGATTATAATGGAGAATTTGATAAAATGAAGACTGGCAGGGGAAACCGAAGTAGTCGAGAGAAAACCAGCCCCAGCGCCACTTTGTCCATCACAAATCCCACTTGACCAGACCAGGGATCGAACCCGGGCCGCCGCGGTGGGAAGCCAGAGACTAACCGCTTGAGCAATGGCGCGGTCCAGATATTAACTTAAGTTTGCAAATCTTAAAGAAATTTAGTAAAACTTCCGACTAACGGTTCTCGAGTTGTACACGTACGTATACAAGGTCGGGCAAATAAGTTTCGAGACTAATTTTGTTTTATTCTTTTATGAGCTGCAGATGTTAGCAACTTGGAATTTTTTTAAAGTACCTCCTTCCACTTCTTTACAATGTTCCCAGAACATCGGCCATTGTTCAAAACAGTTTTTGAAATCCTGAACAGGAAATGTGTGTCAGATTTTTTTTCTTTCCACAGATGATTTAGTGTTCCCAAGATCCGAGAAACGCTTTCCTTTCAGCACACAGTTTTAGTTCTGGAAACAGCCAGAAGTCAGCTGGAGCCAAGTCAGGGGGGGGGGAGAGAGTGAGAGAACGCTGGAACGTAGAACCAAGAATAGTTGGCACAAAAGAACATTCTGCTGAAATAATAAAATGGACGTCATTTGCTTCGTATGAAGGAATTACGTTACATATTGCTCAGTTAACTCATGGTCCTTACAACTAGGTTAAGTTGGAAAGTAGCCTGTTATTAGTGTCACAAAACACGAATTATTTACACATACAGAAACACAGAAGCGATTAACTGTTATTTCATGCAGTGAATGGCTGAAAAAGGCAAGAAAAATTAAGCAAAAGATAAAACGTTAAATTAATACACAGGTGTAGTAAGTACAGATGAACGAACCTGTGAATGAAAAAGTATGTCAGAGAGAAAGTTAAACATGTACCACTGCCTGCTGTTGGGAAGAAAAGTTAAAAGGGCGAGAATTGCTTCGCGTGTCACACAGCGCGAGTCTGAGTCTCTCTTCCCCGTCCAGTCAGAGAGCCGGAAAGGAACTTCTTGTTAGTTCACGGAGAGTCCAGTGGCACACGTTCGGACGCTGGTTCCTTCGTCTCTCACATGTGTTCACTTACAAACCGAGGGTTAACCCTTAAAGGGCAGTGGTTACTATATTTACAATATCCTTTACAATAAAAAACTCTGCATTTTGCCCACAAAGCGTGTTCACGTGTTCCGTATGGTTCTCACAATAAACAGCGACTGTTTTCCTAAACAGCATTAACCGGTTGGGCTTTGTAGCGGAGACGTAATGTGTTTCCTGTGAGGTACGGACTGGATCTGTGTGTTCCGTATGGTTTTCACAATAAACAGCAGCTGTTTCCCTAAACAGCATTAACCGGTTGGGCTTTATAGCAGGGACCGAATTTATTGTCAGTGATGTAGGGATTAACGTGTAAATGTTATTTAAATGACCTTAAGACTTCTAGGGGATAAAAGGCAAAGTTGTCTCTGTGCATAATTAATTAAATACCATTCTATGAGGCCGTATGGGGGAGTGGAGTTATTGCTCCACTATTCTTGACTTCGGAACTAGGTGGGTGAGTGGTCACTTTCATGTCATGGCCGTTTTAACACTGGCAGTGGCGAGTTCTCTACCAACAGCACGCTAAAATATGAGGGCACACATTCGTGTCGCGGGCGGTATTCTAACTCATTGTATGTACAAGGCTGCGTGCGTGATTTGACCACATACACTGCTGTTGTGACTGTCCTCATTCTAAATAAAATAAATTATTGTTTTAAGGTTCCAATACCAAAAGTACAGGGAAGTGATCTGCGTTTGGGAAATAAGTGACCAGAATGGGACGCACGAGAACAGACCCTGGGTCCCTGACTTCAACCAACGCTACGGCGAGAAGAGGGTTCGAACGTGTCTAACATTCAATTCTTCCCCGTAAGCAGGGTTAAAGTCCTGGACTTCTTTCCGAAAGGAATTTATAAAAAAACATTAATTACTAAACATCAAAATTAAGGGCCTCTGTCTTACAATGTTCTGTTAAGATAAAGCTAAGAGGGGATAGCTCAGTCGGTATAGTGACGGGCTCGACGGCCGGGAATAGATATTTTTCTCTTCTCCACGTCTTCCAGATCGGCAGTGGGGGCTATTCCCCTGGGCGTGAAGCTGACCACTCACCTCCATCTAGTGCCGAGGTCAAGAATGGTGGGCCATACCTCCTCTACTGCCCCATGTGGGGCGTAAGGAATATCTAACTTTCCCTTTTCCTGCGTTTAACGTCGGGACTAGATGGTCAGCTTGAAGCTCCAGCTGCCTTAATCAAGGGGAATGAGTCCGATACTGGGTCTACATGAGGACTGGTGTATTTGTGAGTCGGTGTAGAAGCATTATTCCTGTCCAAGCTCGAACCGAGAACCCGCTCACCAGCAACTACACTGACTGACTTACACGTGCCCTGACGATTCTTGGGCATTTGTACTGAGTTTTGTTTAGTGCTCATGTGCGAAGTGAAAAGACTAATTTGGGGGCTGTTCATATGAATTTGGGCTCCTGTGTCACTCATATCGACAAGCGGCAACATTCAGCATCTCGGCAGTATTAGAAATATTCGTTAAAATTTAAGCACTGCCCCTGAAAAAGGTTGTGATTAGTCAGCAGTTATCAAGCACAGGCGTAAATACATCTATCTCACTTACTTCAAGGGGAAATGCAAGCGCATTATGTTTCTAACGTATATACAGAATGTCCAGTTTAGGAGTAGACTGGTTACCGTCGGCTGTTACGGAAGCCTCCCGCAGCAGATTCACAGCTGATGGCGACCCCGTCTTTTCTTAAATTGGACACTCTGAATGTTACGAAACTTCCACACTTGACACGAAATTTGGCAGTGAGTACCAGGACAAGCACATCAAGACTTAAAAATACGTCATAATGTAGGAGGTATAGTTACGCCATTAGCTATACAGAGTGATGCTTTTCAATACGCAGGAAAATAAAAACTTCTCACAAGAAAAGAGTCTAACTCCATCCACGACAGCTCTTTCCATTGCATGTATGCTAATCCTCAAGAGCACAGTTGTAACTCTATATACCATCTGCTTAAACAGTACAAAAAAACGCCGAATTTTACCCACAAAATGTATTTATGTCTTCAATTATTCTAATAGCAATCTGGCGACTGTTTTCTTATCAGGCTCGTCTTCCTAGCGGAGATAGTGTTTCCTGTGCGTGAACCAAGCTGCGTCATCGTCACACTTTGTGACGTCATTAGAAAATATCATGACATTCCATTTTCAACATACTTCCGGTATTCATACTTCCGGAGGGACTTTTCTTCCCTGTTGTTGGCTATATAAGGTCTGATGTACCGGAAGAAGACGTGACGGAATTGGCCCTTATTTGCTGTGACGCACTGCTGTTTGGGCGGACGCGTGCGATCCGGCTGGCGAGCGTTATATATATACACTTTTCTTTTCAATACAATTTCCCAAGAATTGAGATCTTGCCGCCGAATGTTAGCGCGGAAGGGTTTAAAAGCCACTTTTTTTTTTCAGCACAGACCGGGTTACGCACTCGTTACAGAAGGTACAGAAGGAAACCGTAGCTGAAAGGCTGCTACGTGTTCCAGCCTGCTGTCTTCAGCCGTTCCCTGGCAATGGCTTC